GCCCCTTCCCTTCCACAGACTTACCTGCAGGGTGCTGCTCTCCATGCTGCCCAGATGCATTCCTAGCCACATACATGTGTGTGGCTGCGCGCGTGCACACGAAGTCCAGGGGCACCGGCCAGAAGGCATATTGTATTTATTGGTGACATTGACTACACCGGCCAAAAAAAGCCAATAGCTGATAATGTTAATTTTCCTTTTATCAATGCCGATCCCATATGGCACCGATGTATCAGTGCACCTCTAATTTCTGTTGAAGCTTTGCAGCTTCCCTGGGAGGCAGTAAGGATCACACCTCATTTTACAGTTAGGGAAACTGAGGTAAACAGAAGCAAGGGCCTCTCCCAGATTACAAATGGTGAGTGTCAAAGCCTGGAAGAAAATCCAAGGGTCTTGACTTTGACTTCTAGCCTGTTGTGCTGAGGAGAGACTGACTCTTCTATCGGCGAGAGGGCTTAGGAGCGAGTCCCTGCTGTTTATCTTGCATTGCCTCTGCTGAGTGGAAAATATTTTTTTTCCTTCTGACTTTTTAATGGGAAGGCAATTTGAGGAAACAAACAAAAGGAATGTGGTAGATATGAGTTGAATCTCCATGCCTATATATATGTTGATTTGCAGAGTTGTACTTCAACCTTGTTTAATTCTAAAGCATATCCTCTCCAGAATTATATCACTTACCTTTTTTGTACGGAATAAAATTTCTGAGATTCTCAAAGTAGACCTTAATTTGAGATAAAATTAATTCAAATATGTCCCCTAAGAAGGTTAACCCCCCTCTGTCCAGACGTTTTTATTTTGAATCATTTTAACCGGGGAATAACTCCTAACTAGTTTTAATATCGTGTATATGCTACATCTGAAAAGAATTACTTTGTAACTTCATTAAAGTAATGGCTTTTGTTTCTCAAAGTGGTAGATTTATTATTCCCAAGTAAACCATGTTAAGAACAATTTATGTTCAGATGAAAGTATGTACCAGTCATTTTAAAAGGTAAAACAAAGCTTTACAAATCCAGAAAATCAAGAGTTTAGGTTAAATTTATCGTTTAGGATTTTTTTAGGGTGTGGAAATGCACAGGTAAGCAATCCAACCTCTTAAACTATGCTATGTAGTAACACCAGAAGAGTTAAACAGAGCAGGACAGTAACAGCTTTCAGAATCAAATGAGTCTAATCTGGGGAGCAGAAACTATTAAATATTCTTATCGAAATTATATGGTTATTTCCTGTATTTTACAGAGCAGAGTTAGAATTGTTTGCATGCTTTAACTGTGCATTTCCACACCTTAACATGTTTGCATTTCCTTCAAGTTTGACTTCAATTTTTAATTTCCTGGACTTGTTGCACTGGTTTGAGGAATAATTAGATCACCCCTACTGATTTTTTTTTTCTTTATTTTACTGATACAAACTTGCAACCAGAACTCCCTCTTTGTTTAGGTCTGAAATGACAAGTGAAGTATATCACCTTTCTCATAATACCAAAAACAGAGGCAGGCAATGAAACTGAGAGGAAGCCTTTTAGAACTAATAAAATAAAAAACCTGTGGAACTCACTGCCACAAAGTACTAGCTGAGTCCAAGGATTCAACAGTATTAAAGAAAAGAAGAAGAAAAAGGATTAGGTATTTATGGCTAGCGTGACATTCTGTGGTAATACTAGATAGGATTAAAAATACAGTAAGAATATAAATATTTTTGCTTAGCATACAAATCAACCTCTAGTTTACAGGTAGGATGGTGGGGAAAAAAACTTTCCCTCTGGAGAGATTTTTGCATGACTGTCTCATGGAATATCTTAAACTTTCTTCTTCAGCGTTTGGTACTGACTTGATAGATACAGGATCCCGACGTTTTATATTTTCCGTGAAACTTTCATTTGTCTTGGGTTTCTCTACATGGAGTAGGCTTTACCAGTGCTCTGCTGTCTGTCAGCTCAGTCGCGCTTGCTGTCTGCTAGGGTGAGAATGAGGCCCTCCTTTTGTATGTAGCAGTTTGTCTGTGTGGTGACCCCCTCTTTCCC